CCTTTAACTTAAACTTTGAAATTAAACAATTTTCGGAATACTAAGTTTATTTATTGCTAAACGCAAATTTAAATAAATTAACTAATCGGATAAAACTGTTTTTGTTTTTTTCCAGGTGATAGACTGCATTCCATCACAACCTTTTTTCGTGGATCATTTACACATGTACGTATGGTAGGTGCAAAACCCAACGCAATTTAACTGTGCGTACCCATGAACTGAATAGGCTTTCCTTCAGAACCAGTCACCATTTATCACCTCCCTGTATCCCTTCCTATCCACACACACACAGTCAAACTACTGGACACGAAATATCCTCGACTGACTTTATAGTTTTAGTTACTGACCACGCAGACTTAAGGACTTCTCATTAAAGAGAGAGAGATTACTTACTATACAAAACCTCCCTTATTTAAATAATAACTCAAATTCTGTTGATTAAAACTTGTTTTAATTCTTTCTCACTAGCTTTATATAGATACTTTTATCACCCTTCCCACACGGGTTCGTATAGCGAACTTGGACTACATTAGAACTTCGTATGACGAACAAAAACTACATTAGAACTTCGTATAGCGAACTAGGACTACATTAGAACCTCGTATAGAGAACTAGGACTACATTAGAACTTCGTATATCGAACTAGGGCTACATTAGAACTTCATATAGCGAATTAGGACTACATTAGAACTTCGTATGACGAACAAAAACTACATTAGAACTTCGTATAGCGAACTAGGACTACATTAGAACTTCGTATAGCGAACTAGGACTACATTAGAACTTCGTATAGCGAAACTAGGACTACATTAGAACCTCGTATAGAGAACTAGGACTACATTAGAACTTCGTATATTAATTAGGACTACATTAGAACTTTGTATAGCGAACTAGGACTACATTAGAACTTCGTATAGCGAACTGGGACTACATTAGAACTTCATATAGCGAATTAGGACTACATTAGAACTTCGTATCGCGAACCAGGACTACATTAGAACTTCGTATAGCGAACAAGGACTACATTAGAACTTCGTATATCGAACTAGGGCTACATTAGAACTTCATATAGCGAATTAGGACTACATTAGAACTTCGTATAGCGAACTAGGACTACATTAGAACTTCGTATATCGAACTAGGGCTACATTAGAACTTCGTATAGCGAACAAGGACTACATTAGAACTTCGTATATCGAACTAGGGCTACATTAGAACTTCGTATAGCGAACAAGGACTACATTAGAACTTCGTATAGCGAACTGGGACTACATTAGAACTTCGTATAGCGAACTAGGACTACATTAGAACTTCGTATAGCGAACTAGGACTACACAATGCGTAGGACTTTCAGACTTCTTCCTCAACTGACGGAAGGAACCCCTATGTTCTACACACAGTAATATATACGATATACTTTTTCAACATATGCTATGCCTCATGGACTATGTCCTGGAATATCGAGAAGTGTATGTAAAAACCCGTCTAGGATAAGGTGGTCATATTTTGTAAATAAAAAGAGGGGACACCTTTATAGAAGTTTGGACCTTTAGTGACCATAGTTCGAGACGAAAGGCAGTATTGAAGAAGCTTGCTGTATTAGCAATATTTATCTGATGAGTGTGGGTGTGTTCTAAAAAAGAACATGAACATATTCAAATCCGTAGCTATGGAGACTTCACCAGTGTCGTCACATGATGATGTTATGCCCAAGCTAACAATAATAAAATTGGCTGAATGTTTATAATATATTTCTGTTGGATCCTTCATAGTAAATAAATAAAAAAATATTGTAAGGGTATTTGGATGCGATTTTTCGAATGGGGCTGGGACCCTTTCGGATCAAAATAATTCTCCTCGGAATAACATTCCTCATTCGGGGACTTTCCCTGGAAATTGGGGGTTGTATGGCCGCCCTAATTTACGTATTCCATATCTCACAAATAACAGCAGTTATAACGGTACAAAGCTGAGAACTTGTATTTTGTATTTATGAGAAAGCTATTAAGGCTATCTGCCACAAACCCTAATTTTGAACTACTGACCAGAGGGGAATGCAGCCAATCAGCAGACCCTACCAACCATCATCCACGCTAGTTGATTGACTGTCACTCTTATAATATTTTGTGATATCGCACGTACTTAAACCTGGCTCGCCGAATCCGAAATCTTCCTCACAGATCCAGCCTACGCATAATAAATAACGAAACACAGCAACTCGAATATTCTTTCCGAAAAAAGAAAAAGAAAGAAAGACTGAACTTTGTATTTTAGCTACAATGTCTTAATGGTATTTAATATAAATACTGTTATGACATAGTAGGTAAATGCAAAAACAAAACTGAAACCCAACTAATGACGTGGCAGGTAAATACAAATCAAAACTGAAAACCACTAATGAAATGGTAGGTAAATACAAAAACAAATCTGAAACCAACTAATGACGTGGCAGGTAAATACAAAACTGAAACCCACTAATGAAATGGTAGGTAGATACAAAAACAAAACTGAAACCTACTAATGACGTGGCAGGTAAACACAAATCAAAACTGAAAACCACTAATGAAATGGTAGGTAAATACAAAAACAAATCTGAAACCAACTAATGACGTGGCAGGTAAATACAAAACTGAAACCCACTAATGAAATGGTAGGTAGATACAAAAACAAAACTGAAACCAACTAATGACGTGGCAGGTAAATACAAATCAAAACTGAAACCTACTAATGGAGAATAATGTGTTGTTTCAATATATCACTACATCTTTTCATCCTGAATGCAGTCGAACGAAGCAGTCTCGTAGCGTTATGCACGGTCCAGTGTTATGCCCAGAAAACCTAATACATG